TGCGTGTCTCTCTCTCATCATCATCATCACGGTGGCTAGGAGATGTTAACTACCTCGCCTGGTATGAAGGAGGTCGTGGGTTTGATTCCAACCCTGACGCCTGCTGTATATTTGGAGTCTGCGTGTCTCTCTCATCATCACGGTGACTGGGAGATGTTAACTACCTCGCCTGGCATGCAGGAGGTCGTGGGTTCGATTCCAACCCTGACGCATGCTGCTGTATATTTGGAGTTTGCGTGTCTCTCTCTCATAATCATCATGGTGGCTGGGAGATGTTAACTACCTCGCCTGGTATACACTATACACTACACTATACACTACACTACTATATACTACACTACTATACACTACATTACTATACACTACACTATACACTACACATCGGGCTCTATGGAGCCCCGTCGTTAGGGGATTAGTCGTCAACAGGGGTGGTTATTAGGAGGGGTTCGACTCTACATACAAACATACGGCATAGAGAAGCCTGGTTCCAGCAAGTGAATTGACAAATGTAAATGGTTTGTTTTTGTTTCCCCTATCAACATTGGAAGGCCACCAATCCTTCTCTCTCCTCGCTGGTAGATTGTTCCTACGTATTCAGTGTGCAGAGAAGAGTGGGGAGATGAATTCACACTTTCACCGCATGCTCAAGCAGCTTCTGTTTGGCCGCATAGAGGGGGCTGAACGGGCATGACACGGGCTAGAGAGGAGATGGAGTGACGCATTACAGGAGGATGTGGAGCTGAGTGGACTTTCCAAAGACTGGTTACCAGCGGTTTTAAGATCGGCCTTGGCGGCGGAGGCTCGTGAAGGACGCTGCTACTGGGCAGTTGGATGCAGTCGCCCTCCAACAACAACGGAGGGCGGAGGAGCGACGCTCACAACAACGAGAGGAGCGCCGGGCAGCTAAAATACAGCAAGTTGGCACAGTAGGGCGTCCAACTGGTGCATCTGCCACTCAGTCAGCCAACCCAATGCACTTGGGTCTGTCCCGTAACCTCCTATCAGCGAACCTTCGATGCTGGGGTTAAATGTTATCCCTTGAGGCTCATGGAGTCAGAGACTAAGTTACTTTCAAGGATTTGTTGGGCTTATTGTTGTTGCATGAGGTTCCCAGTGACGGGACTCGTGGGATTCTGAGCGGGCCACATGGAACGTTGGCTCAACGTTCAGCTGACGTTGGCTCGAAAGGTTGCAACAACGTCCCAACGTTGGCTTTGACGTCGGCACATTGACCGGGGAATGGGACGAAACTCGAAAAAATGCAATCGTCAGATGCGGCAGCGGTGGCTCAGAGGTCAGAGGTCAGGACGCTGGGCTAGCACGGGCTGAGGTCCCGTGTGACCTCCGATAACATTGTGGGGAATATTTTTTGTAAATAAAATTAATATTAAACAACATTTTTTTTAAAAGCCAGTATCATGGAAAAGCTATTGGAAACCTCTTGATAGTTGACAAACTATAATTATAATAACACTGGTCAACAAAAAAAAAACGTTATTTTCTGGCCTGGACTTTTGCAGCTGTTTCAGACTAATTTCAAATCTGATCTCAGATTTGCTCTATCACATCTAATTTTTATGCTATCGGCATACCCCATTTTCATTGATTTTACCCGAAATTAACTCTGTCACTTATGATTGCAAGTTGTTGCGAGTCAGTGACTGCTTTAGTGTTAAAATATGGTGGTGTATTTTTAGGATAGTGTGTTTATAATATCATTTTATGTAGATATCCACATTTATTTAATATTTTTCTTCTGCAGTTTTTATTGAAAATGCAATATTTGATATCTCAAAAACCTGATGTGATAGACAAAAACTGATGCCAGATTTGGAATCAGCATCCCAAAATTACCTTAAAACCGTTGGAATACCTTATGCCAGAAAAAGTGTGTTGACCAGTGTAATAGACAAAGAAGCATTATGTGCGCTGGTGTCAAAGATGAATTGCACGGACCAATTTTTAAAACGACATGCGGCTCAATTGTGCACGCAAATCGAAACAACATTAAGCGTAAGATAACGCATGACAATTCACCCTGAGCCATGCTAAAACCACCATCGGTGCAGTTGCGTCTGTGTGAAGTGGGCCAGGCCCCTTTGTCATTCTATAATAAATCCGTTCACCACGACAACAGCAAAATAATGACTCAAATCTCACGCGCCCTTGCTTATTAACTCGAGTTCGTTTCTCCTTTGATGGCACCAACGCGACACGAATGCGATAACAATGCTTACAACGCGTACCGCTCTCAAGAGTTCAATAATCATGGGGCACAGAGACACAGAGAGAGAGATGTTAAATTATTTAAATTGGTCCTTAAGTGATATTATTGTATCCTTTATTTCATTTTCTACCGCTCGTGTGTTTATGCATGACTCAGGCTGAACGTTGCCTTGGCCGTGAATTCGAAACATTCATTGAGATTATTTAGATTATTTTGGTGATATAAATGTCAAAATGATGGGCCGCTTTGTTGAGCTATCATTTGTGGCCAGATCGCTCCTTAAAAATAAGTTAATACCCCCGTGGGCTTTGCCTGGTAGGATGGGGATGGTTTAGTGTCATCTGTGTGTGTTTGAGTGATTTGTTTAGCTTTCTTGTACATTTCACAAATTCAAATTCTGATTCTGAATCCATGGATGGGGGTGGACTCAAGCGATCACCACTGTCGGGTCGATAAAATTGAGTACCACTTTGTGTGGAGGTCAACAAGTGGTCATCCCATCGATGTGCTACCGGTCTTTGCCATTGTGATTTTGGAATCTATTTACGTATGTTGAACTTCTTTCGCGCCGTACGCAGCCCGTCGCCATGTATGGTCGTGTGAGACGTGAACGTTGGACACTAATAATGAACGGACACAAGCGGTCGCTGGATCTGCAATCGCCGGGTTCGATCCGAAACGACGGTGGTGAGTTTCTTTAAATCCCACCGGCTGTGTCCAGCAGTGCGAGCGTGCGTGCGTTGAACTTCTTTTGCACCTTACGTAGCCCACCACGTGTTCATCGAAGGTGCGGCGGAGGGCGTGGGGACAACAAACTAAAGACAACAAACAAAAAGCAGTTCTATAGAAATGAGTTCGTCAGTCTCGATGGTGATTTGAACGTGCACAGCGGCTTCCTAATATCGGGAGGAAGAGTGTTCTAGACGGCCACAGAAGCGCATCTGAAAGCGCGCGACACAGTGACCTTATTTCTAGATTTGAAGTTTTCGTGACTGCAAGGATCCATACTCTTTGGTTCTTTCGGTAAAGTCACGTGGGTGAAAAGAGCGTCCTCTTTGGGGCGAGGTTCCCCACTTTGGATGCCACTCCAACGTTGGTTTGGACCCACCGGCTATCATCATCGCCATCATCATTCATCGCCTCTTCCGGTGCCCCGCGCCCAGACCCACACTTCGGTTTCGTGAGCCAAAGTGATGTCTCGAATATTTGCACGTAAACTATAAAGTCCTAGCACGGTTGGCGAAGAATGGTGTGAAAGAAGCTCCAACATACATAAAGTCTTTACACCATGGGAACCTCATTTGCCAGTAAAAATATGATAATTGGTTTTTTACCCTTCTATCTGGCAACAAAACTGACACCTTTTTACAAGGAGTCATGTTTGCATAGACCGCAATACCTGCAGTCATAATACAAAGAAAAGACATAACTCTGATAATGTGCACTGTCCTTGAATTTGATTGGTCCACACCCGAGACAGCTTTCCTTAGAGCCTAGTCTCACATGGGTTGGACCATCTGGTCCATCTGGACCAACCCATGTGAGACTAGGCTCTAAGGCTCTAAGGAAAGCTGTCTCGGGTGTGGACCAATCAACTTCAAGGACAGTGCACATTATCAGAGTTATGTCTTTTGTTTGTATTATGACTGCAGGTATTGCGGTCTATGCAAACATGACTCCTTGTAAAAAGGTGTCAGTTTTGTTGCCAGATAGAAGGGTAAAAAAACAATTATCATACATAAAGTCATATTATTTCACCAGCTAAGGCCCACTGAGCTATGTAGCTCTTTTTCAGAAGCGACCTGGCGATCACAAATGATAGCTCAACGAAGTGGCTTATCACGTGGAAATTTATAGCAGCTAAATACTCTAAACGCCATGCTTCTAAATGTGGAGGGAAAAACCGGAGGACCCGGATAAAATCCACGCGACCATGGAGAGAGAAAGATTCAAACTCCAAATATACAGGTTAACTACCTCGCCTGGTATACAGGAGGTCGTGGGTTTGATCCCGACCCTGATGCCTGCTGTATATTTGGAGTTTGCGTGTCTCTATCTCATTATCATCACGGTGGCTAGATGTTAACTACCTCGCCAGGTATACAGGAGGTCGTGGGTTTGATCCCGACCCTGATGCCTGCTGTATATTTGGAGTTTGCGTGTGTCTCTCTCTCATCATCATTACAATGGCTAGGATGTTAACTACCTCGCCTGGTATACAGGAGGTCGTGGGTTTGATCCCGACCCTGACGCCTGCTGCTGTATATTTGGAGTTTGCATGTCTCTCTCCCTGCGGTCGCGTGGCTTTTTTTCTCCGGGTCCTCCGGTTTTTCCCTCCACATTTAATAACGTGCGTCTTAGAGTATATGGCTTCTGCTATGAATGTCCTCGTGATGATAAGCCACTTCGTTGGGCTATCACGTGATAGCCGGGTTGCTTCTGGACAAAAAAAAAACTACACAACTCAGTGGGCCTTACCTGGTGAAATAAAAAAAATAGGTTTACTTTGTCTTCTTGGTTCTTTCGGTAAAGTCACATAGAAGGGAAATAATAAAAATAAAACATAAAATAATTCTCACAACGTTTCGGCCACAACGCAAGCAGCCGTCCTCAGGTGAAGAACAGGTCTGTCGGAAAGACAGCGTCTACGTGACTTTACCGAAAGAACCAAGAAGATGAATCCCTGCAAGTCACGAAAGCTTTAAATCGAAGGTTTATTTTGGTAAATCGTTTACGCGTCCGTTTGCAGTTGAACAACAAAATAACATCGGCACTGGTTCTGCTGCTGACAGCAACAATTTTTATTAACTTGGGATAAAATGCATCCACCAGAAGAACAATATGGTAAAGCTACAACCAAAATATACACACAGGATAAGGAAAGCCGTAATTATTTTATTGTCTCAAAACTACACTACACACTGAGGGCCACACCTACTAACAATAACATAAAAACGAGGCTTGCTGGGAAAACAACAACAACAACAACAAATAACACGATAAAATAAAATGGAAATAAAACAAATGGCGATACACGTTTTGTGGAAGGTGGGTTGGGGGGGGTGGGGGTGGGTGGGTGGCGGAGAAATGAGGAAAAATAATCAGGAGACGTACATTCAAAAACATTTCAAACAGCATGGGCGTTCGAAGGGGGAAAAGCAAATCTACCCTTCACTCGGTTATTCCCAAAAGTCCGTGCCTCGATGTACGGACGCAGTAAATATGTTGATGAGTGCTTTACTGCGGGGGGGGAAGGAGGAGGGGGGGCTTCTCTTTCGTGATACAAATACTTACACAAACCTCGCCCCTACTTTACACGAACGTCAACCCCCCTAACAGCTATACAAAGGCGAAACAAAGAAGAATAAAAACAACCCCAAACGATTTAATGCAGATTATATTTTTTGTCTTTTTTTCCCTTCCCCACCCCCCCAGGATGTTTTTCGTTATTTTTAAATAATTTTTCTTTTCGGTTTTTTTTTGTGTGTGTGTGTATTTGTCCCCCCACTCCCCACCCCTCACACCACAATCCCCACCCGCACCGAACCCTCTTTCCTCCCCACGGAGACTTTGGAGACGCAAGTCTGCAACAGCTTTGACGTGGTTTAAGTTGACACCAGCACCACCATACAACAACAGAAGATTCGTTTACACAGGGAAACAAAAGGCATGGCTAATCAATAATGCAAGACGGTGTGTGTATATGTACTGTATATATACACACACACACAGACATATATACATATATATGGAGGTAATATTTAAAATCTTCACTCTCCTAAATCTTGCCCATGTTTTTTTGTTTGTTTGTTTGTTTAATAACCCTGAGTACCACAATCCGGCGAGAGGGTCTTTAGCCTCGTGAGCATCACGCGACGAAATGACTTTGCCCCTACGATTTGGCGTGAACGATTTTTTTTCTTTCAAATCCCACATTTGGAGTTGTCTCCAGATCACTCGGATGTCAAACGTATTGATTGTGTTATATCAACAACAACAACAACAAAAAAACCGGTGGCTTTTTGTCAAAAGTGTACACTTTAATGTTGAAAAACCAAAACACGAAAAAAAAAGTATGTTTTAACATGCAAAGGAAAGGCACGATTTTTTTTCCCATATGGAAAATAAATATGTTCGCGATCGATGGCGCGTCCACACGAATGTGTGCCCTCGCACCGCACGCGACACAAGCTAGTGTCCGCAAATAAGTACGGTACAACGTCGCGTATCCGACTGTCACGTGCCCACTACCAAACCAAATGAACCGCCCGTACACCAAGTGCGATCTTTGTGCATGATGGCCTAACCCCCCTGATGTTTCTAAAAAGAGACCTTTTCGTGCACGCACACACATAAGAAACCATTCATGATAAAGAGTTTCATAGGGTTAGATCGCGTAAGTATGTGTCGTTAAACCCTCCACCATCCGACGCAGCGAATCAGTAAGGAAATTTGTCACGTAAACAAAACGCCAATTAGTTCACTACTTCAGCCCACCACCGGTGTGTTGGAGAGTAAATCCACAACATTCACAATCTGAGTAGCACGACGTTTCGCTGGTAATTACATCAACCAGCATCATCGGGCGATTTGCCAGAAGGGTGATGCAATCCACCTGCTTCCGGTCTTCAATAGAACAGCAGCAGGACAACGTCATCGCTGAACAGACAAATCCCTCACGAGTTGGCTGTGTCGGGTGGTGGAGGGTTACGACACATTTTATACTTACGCGATCTAAGAAAAAAAATATTTATTATGAATATAATATTGGTCGCGAAAGCCTGCTAGGGTACAATTTGCTTATTTCTGTCGCAGAGTGAGGCATTTATCTCTCGTTCAAAGCAGCTCAACGCTCTGTTCTTTGTCTGCCAACGTATTTGGGTGTAATTGTTATTTGTCTTATAGATGTTCATGAAACTGACTTTTTTTTTTTTACAATATCCACCGACACCTCGGTCCCTCCCCCCCCCACCCCCCACAGCGAGTCGGATACGCGACGTTGTTATAATCTGACGCAATTTAGTCTTGTCGCATAACCCTCTTGTGCGATTTAAAATCTAAACTCTCGGAGATTCGGGTGCCGGGATGTCTCAGATGAAAACCAGGACAAGACGGGGGGAGGGGCACGGTAAACATGGAACGTTGGCCCGACGATGGGTGCGAGCTTCGGATAAAAAAAAAATCTTGATTTGGGATTGTAAGATTTGCTCTTTGAAGGGCTATTTCTGATCAACGATTTGCAAGACGCAATCGTTTCACGTTCGCGTTGTCCTCGTGCCAGCCAAAGCGAGGTCGCCCCGAGGTTGGCCGTGACATCGCTCCCGCGGAGAAAGTCACGGCAGCGATTCAACACATCGAGTCGTCTCGTGCCATCATCTCGAGTCAATTCGAAAACAAACCGAGATTGTTTTTTTCCCTATCGCCTCGCGAGTTTAATTTATCTCGGCCCTGATTTTCGGAGAAAATTATTATTCTTTTTAGATGAATCTGGAAGTTGGGGGAAGTCGCCCATATAGTACACGGCAACAAATGATGCGTTTGGGCCCTATGAATTGTGGGAATTAACCCACAATCCCTTGCAAGCCTCGGGTCCCGGCTGCTGTGCATTTAGAAACATTCTGTGGAGCGGTGGTGGTGCGCTAACCAACTGGGGAAGCCCACACCACGCACAGCACTACGTCGGTGTGACAACGAGCAAAAACGTCGCTCCGCTGGACAAGCCACGTCGTTTCAAATAGTAGTTGCGCGATATAATTAAGTTCATAGAATAAATGCCATAAAAACGACAGCATGTTTTAGCAGTGTAATTAGAGAGATCAGCTTTTTTAGCTTGTATAAGGATATGACTACGAGCCAATATGGATTCACCGCTGTAGTTTTCACAAAATCCTGCGGCTCTTTTGGGCTGCATGGAGAAATATTGCGTGTGAATATGCAACTGCTTGACACATTTATCCAGCCCCGACACCGCTTGTTCCCAGCCGATTAACTACTCGCAGGGACGTAGGGACGTTGAGAGGAGAGCATTTTCAATTTTTGGGACGCAAAGTTGACGTGCAATATTTAAACGGCATCAATTTGTTTAAATTTCTTCAAGTTTTTTTTTGTTTTCCTTTGCGTGACACATTTATCGCGAGACTAAGAGAGAAACTAGGATTTGTATAAATTAGTTGAATGGGAACGCGACCTATTTCACTCTGCCTTGATATACTAGTCCATCTGTGTGCGTTGAATTATAACGCGGACCATTTTTAAAATGTTTGGATATTCATTTTGAATAATCCAAAGTTATTCATAAGAAGTTTTTTTGGGGGATTAGAGATCGCGTAAAAATGTGTCGAGAAGCCATCTCCACCCCGACGCGGCCAATTAGTAAGGCTTGTCACGAGAACAAAACGTGTCCAAATAGTTAACCACTTCAGCGCTCAACCGATTGTGTGTGCTAAGAGAGCAAACCCACGGCATTTTTTTAAAATTTGAGTACGACGTTTCGCCGCCGGTGATTTGCAGCCAGCTTCATCAGGCGATTAAAAATAAAAAACGTCGCGCCATCTTACGTTTACAGGGAAACGCAAACTAAAAATAAACAAACCGCAAAAACCAATTTCGATGAGCATGGCCAATATACGAATAACCAAGTACGCGACATTTTATTTTCCATACGGTAAAAAATTGGAGGGGGGGGGGGGTGCGGTGGGGGGGGCTTTGAAATGAGGGTAACGGGAGGCCGAGAGTCGCGATGGGACATTACGGAAGGGGCACACGTGTGGGCACGCCGGACATGCAATGAAAACAGCACCGCCGGCGAGCGTGGCGACTAAAGGGGGCAGCCGTGAGTTTTAAGCGCAGAGGTCCACGAGAAAGGGAAGGGGGGTAAAGGGAATAAGAGGAAACAAAAACCCCCCGTCGCGAAAAAACGTGTCCGTTACTGCACGAAGGTTTCAAAACCAATGTTAAGCGATTAAGTCTACCGTACAATATGTAACAATCGTTTTCACAAAAAACCCTATGTAATAAGTAGAATTCATTTCAACGACTACACTTAGAAGAAGACTAAGAAGGAGGAGAAAAACAATTCCTTTCGCGAAAAGAAAAGAGTGGGTGTGAAGCGTGCGTTTTTTTTTAAATGATTTAAAGCAATGATGAGATATGAATATTATAATTCTTAAAAAGCAGTGCTCTCAGAATGCCAACATAACCCAAATCACTGAATCCTTTTCTCAGTCAAACAAAGCCTATGAGGTAGAATCGACTATACAATCTTTTTTTTTCTTCTTTGGTTATTTAAAAAATACATAATAATAATAATAAATCAGTATTAATAACATAATATAATAAAAAGGGGAGAAAAATCAGAACAGATCAAAATATGAAGGCAATAACAAGCATTTTATCTTCTTAAAACACAGCTTTATGACAAAATACATATTAAATATTATGCTATCTTACTGTCATTGAGGTATATCATGATATTGGAAAATGATCTTTCACAGAATATTAAGAGGTATTTGATACCGGTTACCATTGTTGTGTGTTGTGTATCACAGCATAAACCCGATAATTACCGTACTATCTGTACACGTTGCAATACAAACCGTAGAGATATTTAAAATTTGGTTAACAATGCCATAAGAAACACTTCCGGAAAAGTGTCACTTTTTTATTTTTTTAAACCTGGAAAAGTAAGCACTGGTGTAAAAAGAAAAAAGAATCAATCAAACGGAACAAAAAAAAAACCGTAAATAAATCCTATGTTTGGTGCACAACCCATTGGTGACTTTCCAGACCTCTCCAAAAAAAAAAAGCTAAACTTATCACCACCGCGCCGACCGTTAAAAACCTTTCAACAGAAACTCCCGTCAAAAGAGAAGAAGCAATGTACACACGCGCCAGGTTCAGATACCCGCTAGCCGGCAGAGCAGAAGCGTAAACACAGGCGCAGGTGAGAAGATTGGGCGGAGGGTTGTGTGCCCGTCGACTGCTTTGGCGGCGCACTTCCCCGAAAGCTTACAGCGATTAGGCTCCAGCCGAACCGGCGTACGTACGCCCCTCTCTTCCCGCGGCGGCCGTCCACTGACAAAATACGATTCGGAGGATCTTAAAGCTTAACCCACAACAAACGTAAGAAGCAAGTGCTATTACTCCTGAATTGTTTCTTGTTCCATCCGTGTGTGCGAGCTAATGCGCGCGCACGTATAAGTGTGGGGAATTGAAACCAGGGGGGGGGGGGGGGGGGGCGCGGAGGGTGCTTCGTTTATTAGGCGGAATACATTCCGGGGCATCCCCTGGCATCCGACCAAAACCCCTCCAGACCCCACCACCCACAGCGTAGAGGATGAGGGGGGAGATTACATCGTGGCTAAGGGCTAAGTAGGAAGCTGGGAACATGTTTCTGCAGCTCGGCCCTGGACAGCTCCGGCTGAATTTAAGTCCCCGACTGAAAGAGAATGACAATCGTAAATTTGCGCTGGATGGTGATGTATTTATATATTGTCGTGGGTTGTCTGTCCATTGCTATTGCTGCGATAAATCCGAAATTAAGTTTGTTTTTTTCTCTCTCTCTCAAAATTATTGATATTTAAAAAAAGCAAAACAAAACCTTTTTTAAATGTTTTTTTTACATGTTTTTTTTTCTTTTTTTTTCTCTTTAAAACTTAGAACCCGTGTCAGTTTCCTTTTGCAAGCACATCAGGAGCTATATAGTAGGTCCCTAGCTGGCCATTCCACGTTTCAAACCCGCCTGACGATAAACATCATCTTCTGATTAACATCATCCTCTTGATTAATACGCGGGAGGGGGACAGCCATTTACACGACTTACTTAAAAAGTTTATGGGGCATATATTGCTTCACTCTTCTTCCCATAAAGCTGTTAAATTCGTAATTTTTTTTTTAAATCATCATCATCATCATCATCCCATCATCACCAACCAACAGTATCATCAATCGACACCACCGCCACCACCACCACCAATATCAACATCATTATCATCACTACGTTACGTGAATTCATGTGTGGTTAAACTGCCCCGGTGGTTGTGTGTGCACTACAACGTGTATTTTTCTTTCCTCCGAACACACCCGAAAAAGGCAACGTCTGATAAGGACCTGAATATCCTTACAAAAATCCCCCACCTCAAATATTCTTTAAAGCGTGTCACATGCCAAAATGAAATGTATTAAAAAAGTCTTTGGTTTATTCTGCATCTTATTTTTTTTTCAAGAGGCACATAAGCCCCCCACCCTTCCCTCCCCCCCCACATACTTGTCAACAACAGATTGCTACAACAGCAACCTGATTTTTACAATAAGCTCATTAGGTTTTAGGCTTTGGTATCAGCTATGCCCTGTACTGGTTTGACACGAAGCGTCTACGTCTCCCATGATGAGGATGGTTTGAACGAACTAACGAGTAACATGGGACTCATTTTTGCTGTCCGTGGCTTCACGTCTGCATTTTGCAAAGTAAGGCTGCTCAGTGATCATTCAAGAAAAAGTTTAAATGTGCATTTTTTTTTGGAATTTAACGACGATGAGAAGAAGACAAAAAAAAAAACACGTTTTTTTTTTTTTACTGGCCTACAAGAAAATGACCCGCAAGATGGAGACACGTTGCGTTAGGTCAACGACGGCAATCGAAACCGTTGCCAAGTCGCAGAGTCTGCGCGCGTCCGCAAAAGGAATTCGAAGCGTGAGTATTCATTAGTGTTACTTTATACAACGTCGAGCCTACGTGAGCCGTCTGTACAAAACCAATCGAACTCAATATTGCTGAAACGCAGTAATGCTGATTTTTTTGAGAAAAAAAAAAACAATCCTTCATAATTAAATGAATGCCAATGAAACTGAATAAGATATACATATATATTTTCCTTTTTCTTTCCCCCCACCCCCCCACCCACCCACCCACCCCCCCACCCCCAAGAGGTAAAATGGTTTACAGTATCATACGGTGAAGCCACGCATGGTTTGATTTGAGTGCATGTGCTAAGGTTTATGTGGGGGGCTTGCGGACACACACACACACACACCCTCCCCGGCGCCTCAGTACGTCTGCGAACCGACGTCATTTAGTCGCTAATGTGGAATTGGAACGCTCAGCGCACAATTGCCGCTTCGGCGATGCTGGGAAAAGTGCATTCCTCTACAATTCATTTAATAATGTTAACGTTAACCAGAAAATGCCTTCTTTCTTTCGTACGTGCGGGGTTAGGCCAGGACTCCCCAGTCGCGCGCGAGGTTATTACGGGTTCAAATTATTCCTCCGTGGCGAACTCAGGTCCATCGTAAGCATCGTCGTCGTCGTCGTTATCTATGCTGGGCAGGTAAAATCTGCACCGTGTCGGGAGACTTGAGCCAAAAGTTAACGGTCGTTCTCACCAAACCGGTGCCGGTGAAAAAGAGAACTTTTAACACCGATGGGCGAGAACGACGTCCAATTGAGGACAGGAGGCAGGAGCCATGCTCGCAAATCTTACACAGGAGGTCGAATTACAAGAATCACGTGGGAATATACACGCACAGGCCGGCCTTGGATATCCACTGCTGGAAGAGGGCCTCCCCACGCAATGGACGATGCGTAGATTGCCTGACCGTACTTCATGGCGATTGGTGCAGCACTGGAGCGCGGTACAACAATAGGTTTTTCCGCACCACAACTCCGATGCACACGTGAATTAACAATAAGCTCTTGTCTACACCACTTCTCCTGAACAATTTTGTGCAAATTTGCATCGTACGGTGGCGTTAAAAAACTCTTGCGCTCTGTCTGGGTGAAGAGAAATTTGTTGAATCGCAAATTATCATCGTCATCGTTTTAAAATCGTAAATCCGCTTCATCAGCTCCGTCGGAAACACCGCCGGGCGTCTCTCTCACGCCGTGCCCGATGTGGACGCCCGCTCAACCCAACGGACCTGAACATTCTGCGATGCGAACACCGGGGCCACCCGCCGATGTCCCTCGTCAGAAGGCCTTGGTTTGAAAAAATAATTATAATTTGATTGATTGAGGCATCGTGGTAATCTTTGGGTGGATCGCGCCCGTTCGAACGACTCCTCACGTACGACGCTATCCGGGAAGGGGCGGGGAACTACGATTAGAGTGTGTCCTTGCAAGTCCCAGCAAAACTCGCCATCATTACTCCCTTTTAATGTTCGTGATCGAGGGTGATATCCTGAAAGGCCTGACCGTCAGGCCCAACCCCCACGCCCAGCTCCCAAACAACCGTCTGCGGTTCAATGGGGGGACTGCAGTTCTGCGGGAAACGTCACGCACCGATCCTCCGAGGGGCGTCGGTAAAAGGGGGGTAAGGGGGGTGGGGAAGGGCGGGGGGCTGCGGGGGGCTGCACGGGGGTGGAGGGGCCAGGGAGAAAATAAGAAGTGCATTCGATTTACGCAGAACTACAGTCGCGATCCGTCGCGTCGCCGCGTCATTGCATCATCGCGTCGTTTGCGGTCGTACCGGCGGACTGTACGGGCGGGCGGGAGAGAGGGAGAGAGTCGAGAGAGGTTAGAGAGAGAGGAAAGAAGGGAACGGTTTTGGGGAGCGGTGAGGGAAGTGTGGGGGGGGGGCGGAGCGGGTGGGAGCGGGGGCCGTGCTTGCTCGCCCGCCGCTCGTTCACGGCGGCGAAGGGGGGCCGCCCCCCCCCCTCTGCGATGGCGCGGGGAGGCCCTTGGCGAGCAGGGCGTGCGCGTGCGCCAGCGCCAGGGGGTGCGCCGCCAGCGCCAGGCCTGGAGCCGACGGGCCGGGGCTGGACGGCACGTCTCGTGCCGCCGTTACCGACGCGACGGCGCCGCCGCTACTGCTGCTGCTGCTGCTGCTGCCGCCACCGCCGCCGCCACCGCCGCCGCCACCGCCGCTGTTGTTGTTGTTGTTGGTGTTGACGCCGGGGCCACCGGTGCCGCTGTGGCTGCTGCTGCTGCTGCTGGCGCTGCCGCCGCCACCTCCGCCGGCGCCGCCGCTGGTGCTCGGGACCACGGAGGGTGGCACCACCGGCATTTGTGGGCGACGGGCGAACAGCACTCCTGTGCAAAGACAAAGATTTCCCCCGTGCGGGGAGGGCCTTCTTAACGGACTTGCTGGGGCAAGTGCTGTTGGCGAGCAGCACCGATTGTTTAAAGGCCACCGCGACGCATGAGCGGGATCATTTTCACTCCATGCTAGCTCGTCATTTTAGGGCTGAGTCGCCCTAAAGGAGGGCCCAGGACTGCTTCGAGTGGTGGGGTGTGGACGATGCTGCACCGTGCGGAGCCAACCGTGGTAATTTGAGGTGGTGCCATTGCCAAACCGTCTCCATGATGATGGGAGGTGATGGCCAATGAGGAAAAGAAATCAGCGCCACTATTTGGCAGATGCCAACTGCCCGTAGGTTGGCACCACTTGAGTTTGAGGAATAAATTAACACAAAGGGACATCCTGAACATGCCACTTGAACTCTGCACGAAGGGACGGCCACGTTTTCCAACTCTTTTGTTTCGATTCATGATTCAGGTTTATTGGGTTAGATCGCGAAAATGTAAAAATGTGTCGTTAACCGACCGCCACCACCACCCGACACAGCCAATTAGTAAGGTTTGTCACGTGAACAAAAATTGCCAATTATTTATCACTACAGCACATCGGTGTGATGGCGAGTCAACCCACAATATTTCAAATTGAGCACGACGTTTCACCGGGGATTACAACCAGCTTCATCAGGCGATTTGACAAACCTTACTAATTGTCTGTGTCCGGGTGGTGGTGAGTAAATGACACATCATACTTACGCGACCTAACCCAAAAAAAAAACTTTATTACGAATAATATTGGTCGCGAAAGCCGACGTGTTAAATCTTCTTTTTGTTTGGCGGTATAAACGATGATGCGACCACATTTAAACTATTTTAACACAATCTTTTTCAGAAGTGATCTGGCCCCAAACGATAACTCAACAAAGTGGCTTATCATTGTGTGGAAATTCATAGCAGCCAAATACTCTTTTACCGCACGTTTCTAAATGTGGAGGGGAAAACCGGAGGACCAGGAGAAAAATATACGTGCCCACAGGGAAAACATGCAAACTCCAAATATATACAACAGGTTGCAGATTAGGCCGGCGGCGTAGTGGCTGCAATGCATTCATAATCAACGTTTTTGGGTTTAGATCGCGTTATTTATAAATGTGTCGTAACCCTCCACCACCCGACACGGCCAATCAGTAAAAATGTGTCACGTTGACAAAGACAAATAGTTCACTGCTTTAGCCCACCGGTGTGTTGAAGCAACAACATTTACAATTTGAGTACGACGTTTCGCTGGTAATTGCAACCAGCATCATCGGGCAATTCGCCAGAATGGTGAGGCTCTGCTGTGTCTCCCGTTCTTATATAGAGCAGCAGCAGGGTGACGTCATCATTAACTCATCAACTCATCAGGTGCAAAGATTCAAGGGGGGAGTGATTGTAATTATATACTAGATTAGTAATCAGGCTATTGTTACGATGTGAGTTGTAGATTAGTAATCATTTGGAATGTGTTTTATTGTGATTATGCTACATTAGTAATCAGTTAGTGGTTGTTTCCCTTATAAGGAATTGTAATGTATCTTATTTAATAATACGCTTCCAGGCCGCACTAAGCCTGTAGCTGTCTGAGCTGCAATGCAGTTGTCACGTGACACGCAGGCACCAAGGCATTATGGGTAGTTGTGTCTCCATGCTGTTTGCGAGCAGCGCGTGCACCGTTATAGTTTTCACGTTGACAGCGAGTGATGGTTGGTGTCGCCAGCGTCCAGCGCCCTCACCTGTGTAGAGAATTCCATTGATCTCGATGGACATGTTGATGCTGCTCGTGCCATTGGTCGACAAGTTCAGAGCCATCTCCTGCCTCTCTTCTGCAAACAGCAGGCACACACATTCAAACAACGCCTTATTTACCATGCCCGCAAAAAAAAAAAAACGAGATAACTCCACGTCGAATATCAAAGATACGACGAGTCGCTGGCAAAACGAGCACCAACCGACAAAAAAAAAAACCAAACTCCCATCGATTTCATTTGTGCGACCTTGAGATTGTTTGGTAAGAATAAATGATGGGCGAGTTTATCTGCGAGCGTAAACGCAACAACCCGTTATGTACTCAAGGACCTCCGCTAACATTTGGCAAAACATTTTTCACCTCATTTGACACCTGCGCAATAGCGGTTAACGGCATCGTGGCGTTATTGCTTTACGGTTATTTTTCCCGGGGGAGATGGTGCGGGAGGGGGCACGCGGTGGTGGCGGTGGTGGTGGTGGTGGTGGGGGGGGTAGGTACATTTATAACAATAAAGAATAAAAAGGCACCGCGCGAGTGACGTTCGCCGTTTTCATTGCCCGAGCTGCCTTTAACGGAGGGCCACGGGGGACATTAAAATAGGTCAAGGTGAGGTCGCTGCGCTATCAGCGGCGGAGCGTTATAGTGTGGCGGCGGCGGCGAGGGGGGGGGTCCGTGAGCCTTTCACCGCACGGATCCACCCCCCCTCCTCCTCCCCCTCATCCTTCTCGCCGCCCAATGGAGAGGAGATCAAAAGAAATTGCCCCGACGAAGTTTTTATGCCTTTATTATGAGGCTCGGCCCAGGTCAATATTTAACCCAAGTCAAAAGTTCATACGTGGGCAGATTAAGAACGGGAAAAATATATATATACGTGTGTGCGCGTGCGTGCGTGTGTACGCGACCACGCGGTTTATTTGCAAGTGCAAGGGAACGCCAGTAAGTTTTGGGAACCGACTTGTACATAGTACACGTATTCGTTCCTAAAGGGCACCCCGTACTTTAGAAGTGCTTCTTGTTGCGTGCTATCTTGTTGTCCTTCACCACCCAAAAACCTCCAATTAGCTTGGTTGGCTACGTACGGCGAGAAAGAAGTGCCAACGGACATACGTACGCACGTACGCAAAGACACATTTGTGTTAATGGGTTCCGTGCCGCCCGTTTCGTAAGTAGGCAAGAGTCCAGCGAGATTCGCCGTCTCCCCTGGTGTTTCGCCGGTTATAGAAACACGCAGGTGACCATTGAGTTGAGTGATATCTCATATCATGTTTTCAGCATTGTGAGATGCACTTTTTATATAAAGGCTAGGGGTGTGCGTCTTATAATCCAGTAGTTGCGTGTGTGTGTGTGTGAGAGTGAGAGACCAGATCTGGAAAACTTCTCATAGTCCGGAGGATACGGTCATGTTAATTTGCTTGTTTACCACGGGCCCAACCTCGATCAGTATGTCGCGTTATTTTTTTTCATATTTCAATAGGGTCCAGCGTGGGCCATTTGTTTCCGATCGTTCGAGCATTTTTCGCGGATGATTTCCACGTTTAAAAAAAAAACCTGGCATTTGGCTGTTCATAATATCAGCCAACAATCTCCCAGGGGGCCTCTTACGGGGCGTTATGTCAGCACAATCATTTATTGAATTATCTGGCTAATAAAAAAAAATACCAATCGACCCCGAGCCCATCTCATCTACGAGTTAATGAATCAATGAAAATAGTAATTAACAAACTCCAGCCATTGTCAATCAGCTAACTACGAAGTGGGGGCGGAACGGTTTATATATTACTCTCCACCGATGTTAGCAGCGGTCAGGAATCGAACTCTTGGTGACCCACGTTTACAGCGCAGCGCGCCATACCACCGGTACCAATGCGCCACCACCCCCCCCTCAACGAATCCTTCAAGGCGACGTTTAATGTTTAATGAGTCACTCGGACATCACAGTTACAACCGCGCCTCTTCGAGGCGGTCGGTTTAAGGGGGGAGCCCAAAGAGGTGGGTTTGGGTCCTGCAGTCGGCAATCAATTTGGTCCGAGCCATAAGCTATTTATACGGCTTGCCTGCACAGATTGGCATTTATTACGAATCAAAGATCACACGCGCCATCCCGAGTTACTGTCTCAGCAAACATCCGACGTTATGGCGCGGCATTATTGCAGACACAGCGGCGCGGTCTTTATGGGCACCGCTGCTCCGTTCTAAAGGTCTCACAGTCGCCTGCCTGGCCATCAGAGTTTATGAAGCTGGCCCGAGGCTGAAAAAAAAACGGGGTCGCTCCCTTAAAAACCCTTGGCGCCAATTTTTTTTTGTTGTTAACGCGATAATTTTTTTTTTTTTCAAGCGCGCACTTTTATTTTCCTCCTTACGGGAGACGGCCGTGAGTGCCCCGAGAAGAAACGACATCAACTAAAAACCAAACAAACCCCAACGCATTGCGAATTAAGAAGAACGCCCTTCGCATCGCAAACCCACTCGCCGTATAATGGCTCGTGCAGGCTCCTCGTTCGCTCCACAAAACTCGTTTTCTCAATTTCGCTGCTGGATGAGTGCTTTCGCCCCCTACTTGTGTTTCAAAAAAATAACTACCCAAGGCCATTTGAAACGTTGTATATTTCCAGAGCTCAGCGGCAGAGACAGCTCCGTTGGAAACGAAGCCTTTTGTTGCGATTTCGTTCGAGCGTCGATTGTGCAAGGACGACGAGAGGTCACTCGTTGCTTGTCGAGCAAATCAAACTCCTGGAGGCGACTTGGCCGAGTGAAGTGCAAAACTAATTATTATTCTTTTTTTAAAACAGATGTTTACGCGAAGTTACCGCTCGCGTAGCCTCGGCCGTCGACCTGGCGCTAGGATCAGTGGTCTGAGACCGGCACTATATGTGGCGCATCCAAGAGGAGGAGGAGGAGGTAAAGATTGGTATTTTTTTATCTTCAACAATTATGTTAATTTCATTAAAACAACAAAAAATTCAGGACTGCCGCGACCCTCCTCTGTATCCGCCGCTATGGATGTCCCCGGTGATAAGAATAATAAGCCAATTCGTTGAGCTCTCGTTCATGATGTGCCAGGTCGCTTCTGCTACATGAGCTCAGTGAATGGGCCTTGCCTGGTAGAATTAAAAGAGTTCCGTATTAGTTTGTCGTTTAAAAGCCGGTGAAATGTGGCTTGTGATATTGAAGGACCACACAGGGCAGGTTCAGGCCTCGCTCGCCATTGTCAGGGATTCCAAATCAGGTGGCTGGAATCGCCACTTCGCCACCGTCCCAGCCGTAACGCGGTGATCACGGTGTCTATTTACAGTAAGCGCGGCAAGTAGTTTTACACACAGACAGTATACCGCGGTACATGTGTTTACGTGTGCGTCACACGCATGTTGTTGTTGTTGTTGTTAGAAGTTGTTACACATCTGCAAAGTAGATGTGCGTGTCGCGCATTCCGTTGGAATGTGACGTGGCAGAATGCCCCCGCGTACGCGCAAACGATATGCACATCAAGGTACGCGTGCAATGTGGGCGTGACGTGCATGCGCGTGCGCGTGTGTCCGTGTGCGTGATCAGCGGATGTGCGCACATACTTGTATTTGGCACTGAGCAGCGCGGTGAAGTATGGTCAAATAACCCCCACGGGACGCACGGCGTGGAGAGACCCTCATCTAGCAGTGGATTGACAAAGGGACTATGTATGTACACGTGTGGTGTTAGCGCTCGACGGCACCAGCGGCCTCGCGCGCCACTGGTGCAAATTCCACATCACCATGGCGGGAGCCAGTTTGACCCGTAGAACAACAACAACAACGACGACGACAAAACTGGACCACCGCTAGCTTCCCACAAAGCGGTACGCTGATTTTATCGACCCCAGAAGAGTGATGGGCCGAGTGAACCCCTCCCACTTCCCCCCCCCCCCACCCCGACCGGGTTTGCAGCCCATGAGGCTTCTGATTGCGAGAACAAAGTGAAGTGCTTAACGTCACGGGGGGCGGGGGGGTGTAAATCTACGGTAATTTTTGGTTCTTTCGATAAAGTCACGTAGAAGGGAAATAATAAAAGAATAAAAATAAAACATAATAAGATAGAATTCTCACGACGTTTCGGCCACAACGCAAGCAGCCGTCCTCAGGTGAAGAACGTTTGATCTTATAATGTTGTATTTTTATTATTTCCCTTCTACGTGACCTTACACTTTACCGAAAGAACCAAGAATATGAATCCATGCAGTCACGAAAGCTTTAAATCGAAATTTTAATCTACGCTAAGTTGAATTTACAGGATTCACTGCTCTGTGTCCCGCGTTGTGGTTCCGTTTACGATGGAATTTCACAACGCGTAAGTAGAAAAAAAGTGCAGTTCTGGAGCGCCTTTTTCTCTCGAGGCGGATCTTGGCCTACTCTTCCACGCTGGACAGATGTCACGGAAGCGGCGGGAGAACCCACGACTAACTGTGGTGGATGGGGGAGCGTTTGTAAAAGTACTTTTGTATTAACTCTATTCTTTATACAGTAAGTGCACAGAACATGAACCTCACAACAGCAAGTCATTGAATGTTTCATATCACGGACGGGGCAGAGATTTGCTCTGACCTGCTACTAATTCCAGAGGAATCGAGCAAAACAGATGGATTGCTTTCGGAACTTGTGATGCCACCGCACGTCAACATTCGCAGGCGAGTGACATCCCAACCGTTTGCGGACGGCCCCTGCTGGGTCAACGAGTGATTGTCCAGCGTGGCTGGAGGTCGGTCAAAAAAACCATCACCGGGGCCCCAAGGCCCCGCCGATTTCCCAACGTCTGGGCTGTACGATTTTAAACCTTTTCCTGAAAAATGACACTGCGGCTAAATGCGCATTTATCGTCGGGGCGAGCGTGCGCGCGCATATTTAATTTGGGCGGCGCAATAACCGATTGTAAACATTTATTTCCCGGCGTCCAGTCTTTATATTGCCGGTGCTGGCACGCAGGCGTTACAGCAATGGAGGGACGGTTCACAAGACGAGATGCGTCGCTGTAAAGTTACACAACAACGGCTGATAGCGAGGTCTTATTCAGGTCCACTCATGCATGTCGTAAACTCAAGGAATGTCAGATAAGGACAGGTGGGTTTTTTTTAAATCACCCGATAAGACCCTGGAATTAGATTTAAATAAGTTTTCATCATCATGGTCGTCGTCATCATCGTCCCTATCAGAAGGCGGTACAGCAAAATGTGGACTCCAACTGTTCCATCTGTATGGGATCGAGCGTTGAGCGTTGGTCCCCTCGCATGCGTGGGTTATCCTTCGGGCGCCTCCGTTTCCTCCCACGCGTTCATTAACTGGCTGAAATATCTTGATATGTAGAGCACCGCAGAGCTCGGGCGAGCATTGGTGCCGGCTCACCGCCTGGCTGCTGCCGCTGCTGCCTCACCGCTCATCTCTGGTCTCTGCTCACACCCCCGAGGAACCCCCCTCGCTCTTCGAGAGCGAGCGAATATTGTGCGGCGTGTCACAAGTTGACGTTAGCATTATTATCGACGTTATCGTCGTCGTCAACAGCCATTGGAAATATAAAGCTGGACAAAGGCCATCGCTCTCGTGTCGGCTACACGATCCATCTGGCCTCACACACCTGTGACCAAATCACCCTGGCTGGGCGACCGCGGGGAAAACGTGCAAAACTCTGAAAATACAGAAGGCGTCAAGGGTCGGGATTGAACCCACGACCTCCTGTACACCAGGCGAGGTAGTGAACATCTCCTAGCCACTGTGATGATGATGAGAGAGAGACACGCAAACTCCAAATCTACAGCAGGCATCAGGGTCGGGATCGAACCCACGACCTCCTGTACACCAGGCGAGGTAGTTAACACCTCGCCGCCGCGACCCCTACAGTTGACAAACACACGGGGGTCAAGGAGGGGGTGGAGGGGGGGGGCAGGTGGTGGGGGGGAGAGCTCACCACGGCTGTTGATCTTGATGCTCATGGGGATCTGCGCTGCCATGGCGATGAGGTTTTGCTGCAGCACCTGCTGCATTATGCGCTGCTGCTCCTCGGCGGCCATCGCCATGGCGACGTGGGCGGCCATTTTCTTTTCGGGCGGCTCCCCGGATTCGAGCTTCTCGCGCAGCTGTTCCAGGGCCTGTGCCTGGGCGTGGGCCTGCACCTGAAGAGTAAACGCGCGCTGTTCAATCGGTTATTCATTAATCCGTTCGGCAACTCACTTGTTTATTTCATCCGAGTCGCAAATTCCGCTCGCCGATTCCATTTCCCCTGGGTTTCGCACGTTCATTCATTCGGTCATGAATTGAAAAATTTTTATTCCTTCATTCAGTCATTGTTCGTACATGAATTCACGCGTTCATGAGTTCATATTCGTTAATCGATTCGTTAATTCATACAGTCATTCGTTCATTCATTCAACAACTCTTGAGATCGTATTCATCGATGCATTCGTTCGTTCATACATTCAGTCATTCGTTCATTCATAAATTCACACAATCGTGAGTTCATACTCTTTAATTTATTCGTTCATTCATACATTCAGTCGTTCGTTCATTCACTCATGGGTTCATGAGTTCACACTCATTAATTGATTCAGTATTTCGTTCATTCATACATTCAGTCATTCGTTCATTTATATATTCACGCGTTTGCAAGTTCATACTCATTAAGTCGTCGATTCGTTTATTCATACATTCAGTCGTTCGTTCATTCACTCATGGGTTCATGAGTTCATACTCATCGATTCATCATTGCGTTCATTCATACATTCAGCTGGTTGTTAGTGGCGAGTGCCGCTAACAACCAGCGTCAGGGCAGCCCACGTTTACATCGAAGCCACCGCATTTCTGGGAGGCTCAACACATGGAGAGCTGCAAGCGTCTCCTCTCTCTCCAAGCCCCGCCTACTTTTACATAGCCACACCCACGATCTCGCTAGCCCCATGCCCACACAGCAAGTGGATTGGCTACTTTCTTGCGTTTGGCCACCCCCAACTGCTCGTGAGACACGCCTACTCCTCTGCAACAACTTCACTAACTCTCTAGGGCAGCCTTGCCCTTAGCTCGCACGCGACCATACTTCACCGCACTGGTCAATGCGGGTTGGGGAAGTTGGGCAGGACATACGTACGTACATACACACGGGGAACACAAGAAGTACAGTACAACAATAGATTTTGCTGCACTGCTCTGCAGCCTGTAACTGCTGCTTGGATGGTGGTCACCCATCCAAGCACTGTCCAGCCTCAAGCCCCGCTTAGCTTCGCGAGATCCGACAAAATACGGTGCAGGTTGAGCGATTTGCTCGTTGGGAAGTACCGCTCAGTACTGTGGTACGACACAGACGTACAGCGTTTTGTTTTCCGTGTACGTACGCGCACAGACAGGCGCGGAGGCACTCCGGACTGCGCGTGTATCATCATCATCAGCGTCAACTGGAGGCATTCGTTTCCACAACGGCGCGAAGGATTCAACCCGGAGGGGGGGAAGGGGGCATTGCCCATCACGAGGCCGGACATGCTGCCATTTCGACGCGTCCAGCGTAGGGGCGGGCACGCCGCGTTGGAGGCAGCGGTGCGCTTGCCCGCCCCGCGACTCGAGAATCGGAAACGTTGACAAAGGGAATGCAGCGAGGGCTCAACGGGTGCGCTAAAGGGGAGAGGCGCCGCGCCTTTGTGATTTACACTGAGAGACACAGGAAGAGGAACGCGTGTGGATTAAGAGAAGACGCGCAAGTCATGGACATCATATTGACCGTCAACACGGCAGTACGGAGACAAATAAAACACATATGTTTTTTTATTTATTTGGAACTCCCTACGATTCAAAACCGTAGATGTACCACAATGTGACATCACAGGAGGACTAGTTCGCAATAGCCTGCTGCATAAGCTAAGGCTACCTGAACGGAACATATCGTCAAATTTTTTACGATTATTAAAATATTCACCGCTGGGCCAAGACCATTAAAATTCGTTGCACGAGAGAATAGCTCTGTTGCTGGTCGGACACAGAGACTGGGAGTCGAAATCTATAAACATCACAAGACTGGGAGTCGAAATCTAGAAACATCGGAAGAATGGGATTCGAAATCTAGAAATATCGGCATTTCAAGACTGAGATTCAAAATCTAGAACATCGGCATCGCAAGACTGGGAGTTGACGCGAGACGATGGCATTGAATACATCCACCGCTCTGTGTTCCAGGCCTCTAAATCTGTCCCTCTGGTCTCTCGGCAGACAGCGTGGTATTTTGCCAATCCAGGAAAATAACCTCCCGGGAGTCTAGACAAACGTAACAACACCTCAATGATTTTTCCTTACCGGGGCTCGCTGGCAAATCCGGAGAGATTTAACGTTTGCCTCTGCCAAGAGGAGGCGGCGGGGGGCGGGGGGGGAAACTGATTTCTTACATCCTGCATTCCCCTCGAGTGCCTAGGTGAAAGAAAAAAATCAAACCTTCCAAACGAGAAATTGAAATGCTTCGCTTTAAAACTCAACGCCGAGGGTGAAGTTGTTTCTTATTGACGCGGTCGCTCGGTCAAGATGACACACTCCTTTTATTTTGGCCTCCATGAACCCCCCACGAGAGAACGATCACGCGAGCACTTGTGGCGTACGCGACTCACAAGCGACTTGTACACAATTTGTTTTTTACCGGCCTCGATTGAAAGCATTTTGACGCAATTCCTTGGTTGGAAAAGAGTGAAATCACTCTTTCCTAAATGCACACTCATGCCCATGAGTAAATCATTCCACACTCTGACCGATCTAGTCACATCTCAAAAGCTAAGCTGTGTTGAGCCTGGAGAGTAATTGCATTTCCAAGGATCCGTCATTTTGACCGTTGAGAAAAGTGGACCTCGGCAGGACACATCGCACGGTGGCCTGTGGGTGAGGCCCATGAGGGTGGCCGGGGAGGGAGATGGAATGATGAAATCGGTTCGTGCGCGGAAGCTGGACGGATTGTTTACACCGCAATTGGAGGCGGCCTTCATCCAGCAGTGGATTGTTCACGACTGATGACGACGACGATTACGTCCCAGGTCTTTCTTGCAACAAAACAAAAATCACTCCATCTCAATGGCCTCTCACCTGATCATAATTAAAGGTTAAGAAGAAAAAAATCAATCTCGACATCGACCGAGAACTCAATATTGATATTACGTTCATCGATATTGTAACCTAATTTTCTCTGCCAAATTTCCAACGTCGATTACGGGATGCGGAGCCCGATAGGCATTGAGTAGCTGGTAGCTCAGCAGTGGCCAACCTGTGGCCCCACAAGCCACATGCCTAAGTGTGTTCATTTTAAACCATTACTATCGACTACTATTAAACAAATTTTTTTTTATTTCGATTTAAAGCTTTCGTGACTGCAGAGATGCATCTACTTGGTTCTTTCGGTAAAGTCACGCAGAAGGGAAATAATAAAATAATAAAAATAAAACATAATAAATCTGGGAATTTAGCCCAATTTCTGGGTCATTGGCCCGGACAGACCACCCTGGATTAAAGCCACCCACCCCCCCCCCCCCGGCTAGGCCGCCAATGATACCTTGTTGTGCCATGTTTTTGTGAATTGCGCGGTCAAAAAACACAAACGCGGTTGTGGCGACTGCTCGCTTCGAGCTACCGAGTTTGTTTTCTCCATTGACGAACGATGCGCTCGATGGCTTCTTAGCAGTTTTGTAATTAGTGATAACTACAAAATAAAACGAGTCATTTTGAGGGTTTCTAAACAATGTCCGGGGTGGATTTGGCGCAAACACAATTACGCAATTTCACTCGAGCGGAGCTCATTTCTGAGCGAGGCAATGGTTGTTTAAAAAAAAAAGAAAATACACTTATTGTGACAAACGCAAAAAGAGCCGGGCGCCTGCAAATCGTGTTTCTCGGAAGACATGGACAAAAAAAAATAAACGCTTCAATTAACGACACGGGGATCCACTCCAGGATACGAGCGCTAAGGTACATAGAGGTAATTTTTACGTTCTTTTGGGATTTGTAATAATTGTCATTGTACGTGTCAGCGGGGTGGACTACAACGAGCTCATTGCTTAATTCCCACGCAAACACAGGTGGACAATTCTAGAATTGAAGTTTTCGTGACTGCAAGGATTCATACTCTTTGGTTTTTTCGGTAAAGTCAAGTGGGTAAAAAATTTAAATAAATTAAATCACGACGTTTCGGAGGCAACACAAGCTTCCGTCTTCAGGTGGAACCGTCACAGCAAAATTACGTGACTTTACCGAAAAAAACAAAGAGTACAGGTGGACAACACGGCCCGTTGAAGAGGATTATGGCAGTCCAAGAAATTATCTTTTGCGCTCCTCGTACTGACCATTCTGGCTACGCCATTCCATTCGTGTGCCGCGCCAGGCCTTAACGAGGGCTGCCACTGAATTTCTTTTGCACCCTACATAACTGGAGCTGCGGAATAATGCGAAGAAGACTATCTCATGATTCCACGAGAGGGGTGGGGGTGGTGGTGGCGGGGGAACCACGTGTAAACGCATTGTCCTGATCGGCGTACTATTACACAACTGACAAATAACCGGGAAGTGTAACAAATATTCCCCAGGGATGGCTACCTTCAGAGAGAGGACGTCAAAAATGAACATCTCTCATACAGGACCCTGCCATCGAACCTCCCGGTTTCAACCTTCCGCTGCTGCGGCCTTCCCTCCTTTCAAGGAGGAACGGACGAGAGATCCGCTTCAGCGTCCGAACAGACAACCGATTTGACGGCAAATCTAAAACGACGTCTTCAATCCGCTGTTAATCCGTACAGACAGAGGAAGAGGGGGGGGGGGGACGACGACGCTCAGAAAAAAACCAGGACGGGTGGCAACCGAAGCTGCCGCCACCCTCCCCCCCTCCCCTCCAGCCCCCTCGACTGGAGAACTTTGTGGCAGCAGAGAGGACAGGTCGTGGAAGCTGCGAGTCTCCCCCGCGCTGTAGGCCACCATTAACACCTATTAGAACGGGGCCACAAATAAACGGCTCCATTGATTTCCCGGGACCCGGAAGGCTCGCTAGCACCGTAAGTTTATTGACTAAAACTCAACGCGGGGTAGAGAGAGAGAGGGAGAAAAAAAACACACACACACACACACGTAAAACAAGGTGGAGAATGAAAAAACAAAACCCCCCACCAGGAAGCCGACCGCTGACCGA